ATCAGTCATATTTTGCAAGAAATGCATAGTTTTATTCAGTAAGGATGCATTAAATTGATCAAAAGTGGAAGTATAGACATATATAATGTTTATTAAAATTTCAATTTCAAAATTCGAAGAATCCTAAAAAAATTAACAATAATAATCAGAAATGTTTCTTGAGCAGCAAATCAGCATATTAGAATTTTTTTGGACTATTTTTCCTCAAATAAATGCTGGTCTGGTGAGCATGAGAAAAAAATTACTTTTCTCGAACATTTTTACAGTAGTATACACCAAGGCTCTCTTAGCATATTAGTGAAAGAGTACAGTACTTTACCAGTGGTTGATGTCTCATTAAGGCCTCTGACATCTGATATGAGAAAGATTTCTGTTAATGTCACTCATTTCCAAAATATAATCCCACAAGAGTGAACAAAATGTATGTGGTTAGATCCATCTACCTGCACAGTAAGCTCCACAACTCATTGGCTTGACAAACTCGTAAACATAGTAGTTTCCAGGACAGGCTTTGACTCTTATAGGGTGGGATGTGTAATCACAGCAGCCACCCCATGGGAGACAGACCTTACGGGTGACCACTCCATCTTCCAGCTGTGGATGAGTGCCATTGAGTGACAGTGGATCATAAGTGCCACACATGCCAAAATTTACACATGATTCTGGCATCTGAGTATTTTGACCATTGTAGAACAGCCTGTACCAGCCATTCCACTCCACATTATAATCACACATGCCATAGTAGTAATAGTTACTATAATAAGGATTGTCTGTGGCTCTCCAGGGCTCATCCAGACTGGTGTAGTTATAGCAGGGATCGATGCTTAGAGTGGAGAAAGGTACTATTATAAAAATAAAAAAAATTTAAAAGAGAAAAAGACTGTTATATAGTGCCAAATAAATGATTCCAAGATAATATTATGAAAACCTCAATATAAAAGCATGTAAAATACAAAGAATGAATGAATGTACCTGCACAATATACAGGAGCTGGGATTGAAAGAGTTGGTCTGGTAAATTTGTAGACATAATAATTTCCAGGACAAGCTTTAACTTGGATTGGTTCAGATCTGTAGTGACTGCACTGATAATGGCGAGAGCCGTAAATTTCACGAGTAACAACTCCATCTTCTAGCTCAGGATGAGAGCCACCAAGATACAGAGAACTAAAACCTCCACATGACATGTAGGACATACACCACTCAGGCATCTGAGCACTTGATCCATCAATGAAGAGTCGATACCAGCCATCCCATTCTACACGAGTGTCATCATGATCAGAGATGTATCCATACATGGACCAGTAATTGAGTGTGCTTCTCCAGTAGTTGTCAAGTATGTTGTAGTTATTGCACGGGTCATAATCTGTGTTAGTGAGAGACCAAAACAGATCAGTTATATTTCAATGAATCCTTCAATGATTCTAAACTAATCAAACACATTAACAAACAAACATGAGATTTCACTTTCATTGCCAAAAAAAGATAGACAGACAGAAAAATAGATAGATAGATAGATAGATAGATAGATAGATAGATAGATAGATAGATAGATAGATAGATAGATAGATAGATAGATCTTACTCAAGGTAATGCTGGATCCAGTAATTATATCTGGACTTACAGTGGAAATCGACTGTGAAATGGTGCCGACATCTGAAAAGGAGAACATTCGAGACATTAATTAAATTTATGTAATTTTAAAAGTTTTGAAAGACTTTGTTTAAAAGACGGAGTGATAGAGAGAAAGAGGAAGAGAAAGAGAGAAAAAGCACATTACCTGTGCAGTATCCTGAACACCAGATTTGTGGATTCACAAGTTCATAGACATAGTAATTTCCTGGACACGCTTTCACTCTGATGGGGTTTGTCTTGTAATCACAGCAGTTACCCCAATAATAATAATTACCACAGACCTCTCTGATCACCACTCCATCCTCTATCTGAGGGTGAGGACCACTGAGCCACAGATTGATGTATGTGTTACAGGTGTATGAACTAACACAGGTCTCTGACATCTGGATGTTCATTCCATAGTAGAAAAGCCGGTACCAGCCATTCCAGGAGAATCGTTCATCACAAACGTAATCTCCACTTTCATTGTTGGCTCTCCAGGGACGATCCAGAGACTCATAGTTGTAGCAGGGATCACTGCTGATGCTGCTGAAAGCAACTGTCATGGACAAAAGAAAAATGTTAAGTTATGCAAACACTTTTTGTGTAAGAGATAAATAAAATGTATAAATGTCATTGCAGATGAATTGTGTATTTTTTTTTCAAATACGTTCTCCGATCTCAGTTTAACTTTAAGTTAGCCATTCCAAGGGTGAGTTTTCCAAAAGAGTCTGAACTTTTATTTTATTTCCCACAGTTTGTTCGAGGAGTGCAACACAACAAGTTCTGGTTTAAGTAAAGTTATATTTGGAGCAAGACTATATGTAATAGTCTGTTTAAGAGGGATCTGACTATTTTTTCTGAACAGGCATTGTACAAGAATGATCTGGGTAACATTATTATCACCAATTTTGTTAGGAACAGAAATTACACAATTCAATTTTAAATTTTGTTTTGTACATTTTTTAGTAATTGTTAACTTAAAATATTAGAACAGCTTTAATATAATATTAACAGCAAGCATATGACCTACAGAAATGTATTTCATAAAAAGAGCCTATAAATGCACCTGCACAGTATGTAGGCATGGAGGCTGATATGTTGGGTTTGACAAATTCATAGACGTAATAATCTCCTGGACAGGCTTTGACTTGGATGGATGTGGATGTGTAGTTGTCACACTGGTGAGACCATATAAAATCCCCCAAAACTTCACGGGTCACCACTCCATCCTCAAGTGTTGGATGAGAACCGTTGAGATACAGTCCAGTGTAACCACCACATCCCACATAACTCACACACCACTCAGACATCTGAGCACTTTCTCCATTCAAATACAGCCGATACCAGCCACTCCATTCAACAAGGGTGTCATCCTGTCCATAGTACTGATACATGTTTTGTCGCATGTCTCTCCAGTATTCATCAAGAGTGGTATAATCATAGCAGGGA